GTGCGAAATCAAGAAAACAAATAACCGACTGGGGTTTGAATGGGGGGGCGGACGGACGGGCTGGCACATGCAGCCAGCAGCAAGCACGCTCAAGGAAAATGTCCGGTGATCAATCATTCGTCAACACAAGGCTTTTCCCTGGGAAGGGTAAGAAAAAAGCAAAGATCTCTTTCTCTCACAGTGCTCATTCATGACGAGAAAGGGAGCCAGTCGATACAGTGTGAGTGGAGTGGAAGGATCGAGGGAGGCAGTCAGGTGGAGGGATTGTAGGAGGGGGAAGATTGAATGAAATAGGGAAAAAAAGAAAAGAAGCAAACCGAGGGAGAGAGAGAGCGCGCCCGCTCGGTGGGCAATGTGCCATGAGAAGTGAACAAAAAGAGAGAGGGGGAAAAAAGCAACAGAGAAATTTGGAATCTGGTTCGAATTGACACCAAGATTCTTCCAGACAAAGCAAGACGTCTAGAGGTACTGTGCACGTCTAAATTGAATATATCAACCAACCAACCAACCATTACAAATCAGTAGCCGTGAGTATGAGGATATCACTTACTCAAGCCTGTTCTACGAAGGTGCAACAACCTTTTTAAAGGGTTGAGGTAGCATCAAGCTGCATTCAGTATTCACATGGGCATGGTCTGTTGGTTTGCGGTCTGGACCTGACGCCTCCCATCTCGGAAACCATAGGCTTTTGCTTTTTCCTCATTCCTTTCCCTTCTCATCTTGAAGATGCGTTAGGCGGTGGTGTTGTAGATGGGGGTTTACCTTCTTCAAGGTTAGCTTCGATGATACCGAGCATCATGAAATGTGCAGTAGTGTCGCAGTAAACACCCCGACCGACATGACGATGGATGGCAAAGCAAGCAATGCTAAATGTGAAGGGTGGCGGAGAGTTTGTCTGAACCGGGTACTACAATTCCCGTCAGGTTAGGTAGCGTTGTTCAGTGGTCAGTTATGCCGGTGTTTTGCCAACAACCCGGCAACCGGGTACCTGTCATGTCAAAAGCAAAGGAAGAAGTGCAGAAGAAAACCAACTTTAGCCCCTGAAACGGAAAACCCTTTGGTAGTTTGGTTACTCTGAGGTTACTTTTGGCAGATTGTTGGCGATGAATGGCATGGGATGAGATTGGCCAGTGCGGAAACGAACATGATTGGATCTTATCGTGGCGTTTCCCAAACCGCCCGGGGTGGGAAGAAAATGGTTCGATGATGACGGCTTAGATGGGATTTCTTGAATCGATCGGATTTCCTGGCACACATTCTCGAGATTCCAATTAACCTTGCGAGATGACCATGAGCAAGGACGACAGCCGGACCATTAATCTATACTAGCTGGTTTTTAATATGATGAGGCTTATCGCGGACTTGTCTTTGCTGATTCTTCTGACATGGGACATCTTAACAATAGCGATAGGGGCAATACTTGGCCAAGAACAAGTGTGCTTGATGTGTTGTTCGGGGTGGCCCATCTCGACACAGAAGCGGATTAGGTCAGTAGTACCCAAATATACCCATACCCTTCCGTTCGTTCTTCGATCCGGGGTAACACATACCTGGTCTTGATACACTACAAACCCCGTCTTTTATCACGGATCCATTCACCCGGATCGGCGACTTCAGGGTATTCAAGACAGGGCAAATATCATGGCAAGTGGCAGGGCAGATGCAGGCTCAACATCCCGAGTCTCCAACTTTTCTAACTCACTCAACCAAAGGACTTGTGTTTGTCTCACCTTGACGTGCATCTGTTGGCTTACTAGCCTTGTCATTCCCCAATATTAACCACGCAACCGCACGACGGAGGAATGAATCATGAGTGTACATCAGCGAATATGTGAATGGTGTGGCAGTAGCAAAGCGGCAAGAAGCAAGCGTCTACCTACTCGCTGCCACTGTATCGTCAGTCATATCTCACAACTACGGAGGTAATGCTCAAAACTCATCCCACATGGCGTCCGTCCGTCGTCCGTGGCCGGCAATCCTGAACCGAGGGGGAGAAGGAGGTTCTCTGTAGCCTTGCCGTCCAGCTGCTCGGTGCATGGATTAGGGTCCGTCTTGTGTGATGACAAGGATGACCGGAAGATGGCAAAACTGGTGTTCATAGGCACAACAGTCTCCGTTACTTTCCGAGCAATTGAGTTGAACTGCATCGACACTGGATGGGTTGTAGGGTGATGATTGTCGTCCGTTGGTGGTGAAGTGTGGTAAAATCTTTGGCATGCCATGCCAGGGTCCCTTCCTGTGTGCACTTGACTGCTTTTTTCCTGCATCCATTGCTTGCTTGGCCCGGAAAATTGGAACGCGCCCTGCGGCCTGACAGGGACTTGGACACTGGCCACTCACTGGATAGGCTACCCTTAAACCCCAGGCTCATGGTTCAATGGTAACGTATCATTCTTTCTTTTCTTCAGTGATAGACGAGGCGTCGTGGCTGTTGCTTCTGGTTGACGACTGGAGTTGGTGATGTTTGGTAGTGGTGGCGGTGCTCTGCCGAACAAATCGGATCATAACGACGGTAGAATGACTGCGATGATGGACTCTGCGGACGGTAGTGATATGGAGTACGGCACCGGAACGGCATGCTGCCGATTCCCATCTTGGTGCAGTCCGAAAGAGATCGGGGTGGGGTGCAACCGAGAGGGGGACTGCGATGGACTGGGACTGGAGATGGGAATTGTGCTGTCGGGTGCTCGGCGGAAACTGCCATCCACATGCTATTTTGGTACGGCTGCACCACGGACAGGTGAGGGAAAGAGAAGGTTCGTGGGGGGGGGGGGGGGGGGG